ATATACCCAACCCTTGTTGATAGGCAAACGGATGTGTGAAATTATACCGTTACAGTCATTCTAAAGCTAGAGGTGCTCCACGTATACTCCGATACCCTGCAAATAGTCACATTACTGACGCCCCATTCGAACTTCTTGGCCCTTCACTGCTTCATCTTCGGTCGCTTTTTGCGTCTGTACGAGTCCCCGTATGTCATATTGTTAGTCACATACAGTTCGGAAACTTCGTAATTTCGATGAGCCGTTCCACTTTGAAGAAACATGATGGTTATCACAGAGTAGAGGTGAATATTTTATGATATTATTCAAGTAGGTGCGAGTTGGCTAAGAAGGTGAGGTTCATTTTTTGGCCAAGAGGTGAGTCAGTATAAATCCTGCCGCCGCCCACCGCCCACTCGCTCTCCACTGCACAAATCACAACCCCACTGGCCGAACCGTATCATATCGCCTCCGTTCTCAAGCAGCAATTTTCATCAGACAACACGACCCTCGACCCTCGCCCTCTCCACCCCCCATAACCCCCCTTTTCTAGAACCGCTGTTGTCTCTCGATTTCACTTGCAATCATGGCTGCCAACGGCGACTTCTCTGACGACGAGTCCCAGCCTGGATCCCCCATGCTCGATGCGAACGGTCACGATGACATCGAAGAGCAAGAGCCCCTCGACCAGGAGGCCAAGCCTCTGAAGTCTGCGATGAAGAAGGAAGTTCCTCCTCCCCAGCCCAAGCGGCCAGAGCTGCCCGAGCAGCCGAATCCGGAGACTCTGGACCTGTCCACCCTGACTCCTTTGACCCCCGAAATTATTGCGCGCCAAGCCACAATCAACATTGGCACCATCGGTCACGTCGCTCACGGCAAGTCGACGGTCGTTAAGGCTATCTCCGAGGTCCAGACTGTCCGTTTCAAGAACGAGTTGGAGCGAAACATTACGATCAAGCTGGGTTATGCCAACGCAAAGATCTACAAGTGCGACAACCCCGAGTGCCCTAGGCCGACATGCTTTAAGAGCTTTAAGAGTGAGAAGGAAGTCGACCCGCCTTGTGAGAGGGATGGCTGCGGTGGCCGCTACAGACTGTTGAGACATGTGTCGTACGTTGAACCTCGGACTCAAGTGTGGACAAATTCTTCAGTGCTAACTCAGAGACCCAACTTAGTTTCGTCGACTGCCCCGGTCACGATATTCTGATGAGTACTATGTTGTCTGGTGCCGCCGTCATGGACGCTGCCCTCCTCCTTATTGCCGGAAACGAAACTTGCCCTCAACCTCAGACTTCGGAGCACTTGGCTGCCATCGAAATCATGAAGCTCAGCCACATCATCATTTTGCAAAACAAGGTGGACTTGATGAGAGAGGATGGTGCCCTGCAACATTACCAGTCGATCTTGAAGTTCATCCGTGGTACTGTCGCCGATGGCTCTCCGATCATTCCCATTTCTGCACAGCTCAAGTACAACATCGATGCTGTCAACGAATACCTGGTTTCGCACATTCCCGTCCCCGTCCGCGATTTCACCGCTTCCCCCCACATGATCGTCATTCGTTCCTTCGATGTGAACAAGCCTGGTGCCGAAATTGAGGAGCTGAAGGGTGGTGTTGCCGGTGGTTCGATCTTGACTGGTGTTCTGAAGCAGAACGACGAGATTGAGATTCGTCCCGGTCTGGTCACCAAGGACGAGAACGGCAAGATTCAGTGCCGTCCCATCTTCTCTCGGGTCATGTCCCTCTTTGCCGAGCACAACGACCTCAAGTTTGCCGTCCCTGGTGGTTTGATTGGTGTCGGTACTCGTGTAGACCCTACTCTGTGCCGTGCTGATCGTCTCGTTGGTTTCGTCCTGGGTCACCGCGGACGCCTTCCCGCTATCTACACTGAGTTGGAAGTCAACTACTTCTTGCTTCGTCGTCTGCTCGGTGTCAAGACTGCCGATGGCAAGCAGGCCAAGGTTGCCAAGCTTACTAAGAACGAGGTTCTCATGGTCAACATCGGTTCTACGGCTACCGGAGCTAAGGTCGTGGGTGTCAAGGCTGATGCTGCCAAGCTCAGCTTGACCAGCCCTGCCTGTACCGAGGTCGGAGAGAAGATTGCCATCAGTCGGAGAATTGAGAAGCACTGGCGTCTGATCGGTTGGGCCAACATTGTCGCGTAAGTCTTATGCTCCACTCCTTAGCTTGCGATTTCTTCCCAGCTCTTGAGAGAATGATGTTACTAATTACGGAAACAGTGGTAACACCCTTGAGCCCATCCTGAACTAAAGAAGTTATTGCCCGCTTGGATGGCCAGGCTTGTATCCATCAGGTTACGGCTGGTGGAGAAGTCAAAGAGTATCTGACACCAAGTCTTGGCAGGGTCAAGTCACGAATGAAGTAGAATGGTTTGCAGTAGCGAAAGGGGGTGTCAGTTAACTCCCTGATTAGAGACCACAGGGGGCCTAATCGTCGCCTATTCCACCTGCTGGGTGCGAAGAACAGGGGATCGTGAGTATTCTCCACGATATCCAGTTGAAACGTTCGCAGAATCGAGAAGGTCGGGCAAGCAGCAGGATGGAAAGGCAACTTAGAAGATCAGGTGGCATGGCTGGAGTTGCGCAGACCACTTCTTTGACGTGTGTTACGACGCTTGTGGAAAATATTTCTTACACTTTTTTTTTCTTTTTTTTGTTCATTCTTATTATTCGGTCCGGCTTGCATGGCTCTATGTAGATGCTGTATAGGGGAATGATGAACGCAACGAAATAAAAGTCAGATTTCTTTGATGTCCAATACGCCGCCATTGAAAAAGAAGCATTGATGGGGAGCTGAATGAAGGAGTTGTTTGTTCTGCTGCGGCCTTGCCTCCGAGGCCACCGCCGCGGTTGACTAAGGCGCGGACCAGCTCCTCTTTTAGTTACTTAAACTATTCTCTTACTCCCCCATTCATTGCTTTGTCCGCAACCAAAAGGCCACATCTCAGCAGGCTCAATCCCAGGCTGCTGTTGTGCTGCGGGTGTCGCAATGTATATCCTCGAGGTAAAGTTCCCGTACAGACTTTTTTCCTCTTGTTATAAGAGTTCATCTGGTCTTCCCTTTCAAGCTTGAAGCTCCAGCTAACTCGGGTTATCGTGGCCGTTACAGCAACTGGCGCGTCTTCTCGACCGTCCATTCATCCCCTGGAAGAATGTCCTCGTCGGTTTCTCTTTAGGCCAGTTTCTTTTGGAAGGCTTTCTGTCTCTTCGTCAGTACAAAGTGCTGCAACGGACCAAGCCCCCGCAAGTATTGGCGGGCGAGGTCTCTCAGAAGGTCTTCGATCAGAGTCAGGTAAGCACCTCCACATGAGCCCAGCAACCACATCATACTGATCAGGCGTCCCCTGACTTATTAGTCCTACGGTCGCGCGAAAGCCAAATTCGGTCTTGTTGCAGCTCTTTACGGTCAAATCCAAAATCTCGCTTTCATCTATGGCGACATTCTCCCCAAGCTTTGGGGAGTCAGCGGTCTCTTGTTGGCACAGTACTTCCCTTCTCGGTTCCAGGGTGAAATCTCGCAGACGCTCCTATTTGTCTTCGGGTTCAACCTGATCAGCACGGTTCTGTCTCTTCCCATTTCGTACTACAATACTTTTGTCCTCGAGGAGAAGTTTGGTTTCAACAAGCAGACGTTCAGTCTCTGGGTTACGGACTTGCTCAAGGGACAGATGCTTGGTATCGTACTCGGAACACCCATCATCAGCGCAGTGCTCAAGATCATTCAGAAGACCGGCAACTCCTTCTTCTACTACCTGTGGCTCTTTGGCGTCTTCCTCCAGATCTTCGCTATCACCATCTATCCTATTGTTATCCTGCCCTTGTTCAACAAATTGTCGCCCCTTGAACCGGGTGCCATCAAGACCGGTGTCGAAAACCTCGCTAAAAAGCTCAAGTTTCCTCTTCAGGAGCTGCATGTCATTGACGGCAGCAAGCGGAGCGCTCACAGCAACGCCTACTTCTATGGTCTCCCTTGGAAAAAGCACATCGTTATCTACGACACTTTGATTGAGAAGAGCGAGCCTGAGGAGGTTGTTGCAGTCCTGAGCCATGAACTGGGCCATTGGAGTCTCAGCCACACCACGAAGCTATTCGGTATTGCTCAGGTATTTTTCTGGGCCCCAGTGTAGACCAATCATCACATCATGAGTGGTTGAATCAGTATACCAGCATACTGACCTCTCTTAGTTCCATATGTTCTACATTTTTGCGCTCTTCTCTGCATTCGTGAACAACAAGTCTCTGTATCAGTCGTTCGGCTTCTATAGCCAACAGCCCATCATGATCGGATTCCTCTTGTTCTCGGATGCCCTCGCGCCGATGGATGCTGTTGTCAAGCTTCTGATGAACATCCTCAGTCGCAAGTTTGAATTCGAAGCTGGTAAGTCTTCAGGACCTTTGACTTATTCCCCTGATTATAACACAATACTAACCAAACCATCAAGATGCCTTTGCTGTCGGTCTCGGTTATTCTGAGCAGCTGGCGCAATCCCTTCTCAAGCTGCAGATCCAGAACTTGAGCACCATGGACGCTGACTGGTTGTATGCAAGCTACCACTACTCTCACCCTATCCTTTCCGAGAGACTCAAGGCGCTCGGTTGGAAGGGTGGAAAGGTCACCGGCCTCAAGGAGGAAGATAGTGAGACGCCAGTTAAGGCGGCTGACCGTGAGCTGTGAAAAGTTGACGTTCAAGGTCTTCTTTTTCTTTTCTGGCATGGTGTTTTAGGGCCGGTTGTGGAGAGACCCGCCGATCATGGGCTTCTGAAGGCATATTCAATTGTGAATTGATTTTTGGGTTCTTATCACCGATTAAAATAAACCAATCATAATCGTCTTCCAAAGAAATAGTTTCGCCTTGAATGCGCCAATGCGATATGCACAAGTCTAATATATCTTGGGAATCCAAAACAAACAGCAGAAAAATAAACCCCGTAGCAAAGCTGATGCAACCCGTAGCAAACCTCCCGCAAAACAGTAACTTTTCTTTCGCTTTCATACCCACTCAAGCGTCCGACTTGGCCTTTGCCCTCTTCTCTGCAAGTCTACGCTCCTTCTTCTTCCGCTTCCTTTCCTCTTTATCAAGACCCGCAGCGGCCTCAGCATTCTGCTCTGTCTCAACAACGTCCATATCCATCCGAACATCGTCATCATCATCGGCAGCAACAACCTCTTCCTGAAGCTTCTTCGGATCCTCCCACCCCTCAGTTCCGGCCTCCGCCTGCTGCGCATTGCCCTCCTCTCCAGCGCTGAGCTTCGCAAGAGCCAGGTCCCTGCCCAGGACTTCGCCAGCAAGTCCAGCCTGAACGCGCTTCAGATTGTGCAAAATGAGATTGGGTGCCGCAGCCGTGGTGCGCGAGGTCGGGCCATGTTCGCTAATACCGGCATTAGGTTGGAGGGCGGGGTCTGTGGCGGCGCGATCGAGGTAGGCGGCTAGGAAATCGTGCGCGGCAGCCTGGGAGATAGGCTTCGAAGAAAGAATGGTGGTAGGAGGTAGCGGAGAGGGACCCTGAGCGGCCATTGTGGTATATGATATTTGGTTTGTTTCTCGACTCGTCGCAGAAGTGTTTTAAGTATATGTAAAGGTTGTTATCGAAGTAGTGACTTTTTAAATTCCGGGGAGAGAGTTTCGTTGAGTACTGAGAAGGGACGCCCGTATTCAATTGTGTCGGAATAAGAAGAACTTGTTTATTTCCTTGTTGATTGATTATTGCACCAATTGAGCAGATATAGAGAACTGTAGATGCGCTCTTGCATCGTCCGGCGGAGAGAAAAAGTCGGAGGTGGTCCGTGCACTGCGGCGCCGGAGTTCAATTTTCAGTCCGCCGTCACGGACAACATCTCGCATCCCTCCATCGCCGTCCCCAGCTTTCCGCGTCAGCGAGGTCCAATTACGTTTCACACTCGTCTTCAATCTGCTCATCACTATGCTTTGCTTCCGGTGTACGGCTCTGCCGACCGCTTTCAGGTCCTTTGCGGCCCCAGCAACCAGGTACGTCCGTCCAATTTTGGCACCCCGGATCCAATGAGACCACGCATCTAGGCTCTCCATATAGCCCGATTCGTCAGTCAGGTCAGGCAGATTGTCAGGGGAAGCCCCGGCACCTCAGACACTTCATAGTATTGATGAAAGAAAAATGACTGACTTGAATCAATTCACTAGACTCACCTCCGCACCGCTCACATCCACCGCAACCGCTCTATCAACACCGTTCCGTGCCCTCTCCTCCACGACCCTCTCCTCGCTCCATCTCCCACAACAACATTTCCCCTCTCAGAGCCTCATTACCTCTTCCTCCACTACTACTGTCCGTTCCCTGCTCTCCACCAACAACTCTTTCGCAAATCAACAAACGCGCTCCTTCTCCGCTAGTGCCTCGTTGGCCGGAAAGCGCGATACCTACAACCCCTCGCGGAGGGTGCAGAAGCGCCGTCACGGATTCCTGGCTCGGTTGCGCTCGCGAGGTGGACGGAAGATCCTGTTGCGGAGAAGGGCTAGGGGGCGGAAGTCGCTGAGCTGGTAGTTTGAATGCGTTGTTTGGTGGTGATGGGTTTATTGGTCTTGTTTAATCTCATATGTGTGTGCTGTGTACCATGACGTTTGTTGCTCTTTGGATTTTGCGGTATCTGGATCTATTTACTTGGTGGGGTGGCGGCGGAAGCTTTGTGGCGCCTTTGCGCTCTGTGCTGTCCAGGGTAGGGTAAGATGGCATGAGGAGATGCAGCTTCTGATGTCTTGAGCTGGCTTTGCTCGGGTTCGGTATTACCCTTTGTGTTACTAAGATGGTGGTGATATGGGTCTAAGATTTCTATCTCGCTACCATTAATAGGACGCTGTCCTATGTGTACCTTATACATATTCATATATAGATATCATATTGTCACGTGGTTTGGTTTATAATTTGTCGATCTGGGTGTTAGTTCGGTAGGAGTAGAGTGTATTTATATCTCCTGGGGTTTCTAGTAATTGTATTATTCTCACAAAGGTCAGAGATAGAAGCTGTGTGTTGCAAATATAATGGCAGCCTGTGTAGAACAGGTTATGTCACCTAAGAGACTAAGCTTCAGGTTAATCATAGTAGTGGGCCCGATAGCGAAAGCATCTGCTAGCACTTTTTATTACAACATTCAATGAAATAAGAAGAACGAGAGCTTTTTCATAAACTTCTGGCAACGTTTACTCGGGTTTGGTAGGTACCGATAATCACAACTAAGATTTAGGTGCAGATTTGTGGTGGTTAACCACTTATGTTGTACGATATATCATTAACATCAAAAATCATTGCGCGTCTGCTAGTTGGAGACATCTCTAACAATACAGATCACACGGGTCGGCATATCTGGGCCCCCAGGGGTAGCTGGTCTTTCGACCTAGGTGTTATCCAGGAACTGGCTCAGATAAATCTTGTCATGTCTAGAGGTTGTCGTATAGATTGCATCACTCATCATCTTCGTCATCCTCCATGTCTTCATCACTGTCATCTTCATCTTCAGATCCGGTTTCATACTCATCGTCGTCATCGTCGGACTCCTCGTCCTCGTCATCGCCGACCTTCAGCCCATAGTCATCTTCGAATTCTTTGAGTGGCTGCACCGCAGGCGTGAATCCCGATGCCTGGAGACCTTCCTTGATAGTCTAAACCGACAGTTAGTAAATGATACACAAGAAGATCATAATTTCTTCATGGAATGACAAACCTCCTCAAGCACTGTAGCGCAGGTAACCACGATATTGGCCGTGGACGGGTTAAACAAAGGCAGAATGATGTCCTTCAGAGCGCCTTTCACGTCATCAACGCTAGTAGCCCGCACCTGCTTGAGCACCCGCTCCTTGTAGTCGCTAGGCAGGCGCCGAATCACCTGTCGGATGAAACTGCCTGAGGCTGCGCTACCAATTGTCGACTGTTCATTCGCAAAGCTTACCACAATGCTGCTAATGGAACCCTCCAGCATCAAGGGATCGAAGGGCATCGCACCAGAGAGGTGATCCTCAACAATCTGCTTGCTGGAGTCGAAGGCTTTATGGGCGTTGGGGGAGCGGTAAACGTCGAAGTTGACGAATCCGGTATCAATGTTATAGGCAAAGTTCGTGCCATATGCCAAACCCTTGCCTCGAACTGCAACCCAGAGGGGACCCTCAACCGCGTTCATGTATGCAATTGCAACCATTAAGGCAGGAAGTCTTGGATCATCATAAGAATCCAAACCACGTGCGGTAGCATATGCGAACGATGAATCAATCGTCGGCATAGGAACCACATACGACTTACCGCCCAACTTCTGGCCTGCCTCACTGAGCAACGGTCTTCTAGTCGTGATAGGCTGTAGAGGGGCACCTGCACCCAAACGCTCAGCAAATGGTTTCCATGCTGACACAGGGTTTTGAAGTTTCTCCAGGTCAGCGATAACTAAGACTCGCATGTTCTCGAAACGGAAAAGCGCATCTCTGATTTCTTCCATCCGCGCAACGACAGACTTCGGCTCTTCTGCTAATTGCTTCTTGATCCGTTTCAAATAACGCGCCTTCACCAAGGTGCTCCGAGCCCGAACAATAGACTCTGCTGCATAGTGGACCATCACATGAACAGCCGCGAGCATGTCGTCGCCACTACGCTTGGAATCGGGCACATCGGAGAGCAGTCGACTGGTAATCGCTCGGAGTCGCTCGACATCGAAAATCGAGTTCCAGGAAAGTTCCTGGATCCATGCGATCGCCGTGTGATACTTCTCAAGCTCCACCTGGAATGAGATCCGCAACATCTCCGAGTTTCCTAGGCTTCTAGCTCCTTCCATGGAGTAGCCAACAGTATCCCTTTCCAACTCGACAACCACCTGCTCAAAGTTGATGGTTTCCCCGTTCCGGTTGACAGGCAGGTTGAAGAATGCCTCAGTATACACAGACAGCAGTGGACGAAGCTGCACAGGTACGGCCTGTGCCGAGATGAGGAGGGAGAGCTGCACGAAGCTACTGGGGATATGCTCGAAATGGATGAACAAGGGCAGATCAGAGCCATCAGCATCCACCAGTTTTTGCGCCTTGTGGGATGGGCGCCCGGCATCGAGGGCTGCACCAGACCTGGCTGTAGTAGTGTCCACGAAATGGATAGACTCTATTCCAGGGATTTGGAACCTCTCCAGCATCTCCTTGGGGATCTCCTTGTCATTTTCAGCTTTAGCTTTTTCCAGCTTGTCGGCCAACTTCTTCAGCCCCTCATCACCCAAGCGCTTCTTTTGCTCTGCGACTCTAGCTTCCTCCTCCTTCTTTAATGTGTCAGACATCTTAACGGACGGAACACCAAGGATAGTGACATGGTTGGCATCAGAAATCCATGTTTTGATAAAACTGCGCCACTGTTCTTCACTCCACTTCTCCAGCACGTCGTACTCTTGCAAGGTCGCAACATCAAGCATAGTCGATCCGTCTCTCTTTCCGAAAAGAAAATCCGAGATCACGTACTCCGCAAAGGAAGAGGCGGAGCTTTCGGTAGAGAACTTCCAGGTCCGTCTTTGCCGGTCAATGCACTCCTTGATATACCTCATGTCTAAATCTTTCTCCATAGCGTCCTTGAGCACTTCGAAAAACCGTTGCTCTACCTTCGCGAGTTTCTCTGTCTCCACACTGGTTAATGTGAAGCGGATCTCAATGCTGGGATGATCTTCGGTAGCATAATAGACAGCACTGGCGAGCTGCTCCTTCTCAACCAGGATGTTATCCAATAGAGAAGCAGATGAACCGGCCAGATACAGCAATGCAACATTGACAGCCCCGGCTATAACAGAGTAAGTATATCTTCGAAATGAGGACAGCGGAACACTCACTTTGAACAGGGTCGGTACAGTCCGGACCGAGGAATCTAATTTCTATCTCCCCGAAAGATTCATCTTCTTCCGGAAATTCCACAGTCTGGACAATGGACTTCTCCAATGGCGGCGCCTGCTTGGAATCTACCCACGGCCTCTTGAAAGGTGAATCAGGACTGGGAATGACATCTAGAATAGTATCTTCGAACTTGTCCAAGGTCTCCAGCATGTTCTGGTGATCTACTTCGCCTGTGATGATTAGGCATAAGTTCTTGGGCTGGTACATCTCACGATGGAACGCTCGGATACGGTCCGCGGTGAGGACGCGGAGCTGCTCCATCATACCGCCTGTCTCGTAGCGAAAACCTACACCATGCGGGTAAGTCAATCGACGAGCGGTTAGATCGATTAACTCTGCAGAGTTATTCTGCACACCCTGCATCTCCGAGTAGACGACTCCAGCGTCGTCTCCAGCGCCATCAATATGATGCACTTCGGTATAGCACCCTTCATCTGTCAGTGTTGGAGCTATAACATGCTCTAGGTACACGGGCAAGATTTGAGCGAACCCTTCCCAGCCTGCTGTGTCCAAGGTGTAGGCCGTGTGGTCTGTGGCCGTCCAGGCATTGGTGCTCGAATAAACACGTGTTGCTAGCTTGTCAAGGAAGCCCTTATATCTATAGTTCCGCGAGCCCATAAAGCACAAGTGCTCCAACGTGTGAGGAGCACCTGAATCATCGAGAATCTCTGTGGCTAGAACAAAATAACCTGTGACTTTGGGTCCTTTTTGGTCAATGACCACTACCCTCATGCCTGTTCTCTCCGACTCATACTGAGCAAACTCGCTAGGCGAGTACTCCGGTTTGAACTTCTGGAGTAGCTTGAAATGGCTCTTTTGAGTAGATGACATTTTGCTCAATGGTCTCTGGAAATGTGATTTAGAACCAAATCCTGTGATCACACCCCGTAGCGATAATCTAAAATGCTGTTAGTAATCCATAGGCCAGAAGCGCAAACTTTTAGGAAGCAAGTATAACAGTTTTATTCATTTTAGAGAAGCTAGCAATGCTTGAGGTTCAGGGTGCGGGGAATTGAAACGGGAAAAGCACCCATTCCATGTTTGAAATACCAATAGCAAGAACAAGGGGATTGCAAATTGTAATAATACGACATCACGAAGACCACGAAGCATGCTGTATGGAGGCACAAATCTGTGGCAGCCAATGTAAGGCTGCCGGTTGAGGATTGGATGTTTAATACAGAAAACGACGGAGGGGCAATCTCTTTTCTTGCTTTTTTTTTATTCAATGGAGTTCAGGGCTGGTACAAGCATGACTCACATGGATCGAGAAGCGTTTGCCCGAATCAGGCTTCTCAATAGTAACTGAGACAACACGATGGGCTCTGCTTGACGCCGATTATGATGTTTCAGGAATTTTGAGGTCACACAGTTGGCCGCTGAACGAAGGTTACCCTCCAACTGTAACGGTTCAGAGTGGAGTTCAGGTTTCCGGTTCGATAGAGAGCACCACACCAACAGATAATTCACAAAAAAACAACCCGTGTCTATTCTTAGGAGGTATCTTTACCGAACAGAAAAATAAGAATATAGCAGCAGACGAGACACACGGAAAAGAAAGAAAAAAATCATATAATCGGCCTCAGTCTGGCCCTGGGGAAGAGCGAGATCGTTCGTGGTCTTGCCCATCGCAGCTAAGGCGGTGAGCGGTGAAGTCACATGGCGGTGTTGACAGCTCGCCTTCCCTTTCGGTTGCGATCTGCTGCATTGGAGTCCTTGGTATATCTTTGTGGATCGATACCTGGCAGATCTTCTGTAAGAGGGAGGCAGAGCCTAGTGTGGCGCTTCTGTTTGTCTTCTTTACGTTTTTGATCCGCCGATTACCAAGAACCAAGGGCTCTTGCTTAGAACTACTAACATAATGTCCGCTAAGGTATCGGAGCAGGACATAAGCCAGTCGGTGCTGAATTTCGTGACCGATGGTACTTATCCAGTATCGGAGCAAATTGTCGCCTCTGATTTTCCTAGCTCTTTCCTGGCGAAGGAACTGGAGCTCATATCGAAGGCTAGGGAGCAAGTTGAAGTAAGTAGTGTATCTAATGCGGAGCTCCGCTTAAGTAGCAGCTCAGATGGCAGTATAACTAAATGAGAATGTCCTATAGGCCGAAATTAACTTCCTCAGTCGTGAGAACAACTTCGATGCCGACGGATGGATTTCACAGGCCAAGCAGCTTCATGCAGACATTGAACGATCTAGAGTCACTGCGAGGGAAATTGTCGAGCAACATGAGAAAACGCAGCCTTTGCAATTGAAAGTGGAAGACGCTTCCGCGAAAGTTGGACTCATTGAGACCGAAATTGCGTTTAATCAGGCGGTAACCAGTGCGCTGACGGAAGTACAAAAGCTTTGCGAACAACTAGACGACGGACGAGCAGCTCTCGGAGAGGGCCGCACCATGGCTGCCATTGACATATTGGAATCCACTGAATACGCTGTCAAGCAAAGCAGTCATTTCACAAACACAAATGTTCTACATATACTGCTAGAGAATGCTGCCGGACTGCGAAAAGATATTATGGAGGCTGTCCGTAACCGCTGGAACGAACAGCTGCATATTGATAAGACGGAGGGAAAGCTGACCATTGCTAAGGACAGCGGTATGGTTCTTCCGTTGGATAGCGCCAGGTAGCTCATGTTCACTAACAGATTTCATAGATGATACATTGCACGAGACCATCGTGGCCTTGACCAGGCTTGAGATGTTCCCTTCAGTTAGGGATAGGTTTCAAAAGGAATTAATTTCGAAGATACTTGACCCGATATTGCTTCCTGGAGCCACTGGACGTAGCCACGGGTGCCATGTTTTAGGATCTACAATATACCTTGAGCCGCAGCCATCAATGGTATCAATACCCGAGCTGCTTGAACGTCTAGTCAAGGTACTGGGCTTCTTGAAGCAGCATATCCCCAATCCTATTGGGGAATCATTCTCAGAAATGTTCATTCCCTCGTTGTCCTCCAAGATAATTGATCTGTGGTTAGCACCTGCTATTCCAACCGATCTCGAAGGCTTGGGACAGTTTGAGCAAATACTCGATCATGTTCTCAAATTCACGAAGAACATTGAGAGTTTTGAATGGCGCGGCCAAGAAGAACTCATCTCTTGGGTCAACCAAGCCCCGCGTCTCTGGATAGCTAGACGGCGCGTTGACTCATTGGATCAGGTCCGGAGAATCCTCGCTGCTTCTCGAGGCACTACAGAACGGGTTGAGAGAATCGAAGTTGAGAAGGTTTCGGGGAGCGATGAAGCTCTGCTGGAGAATGCTACACCTGATGATTGGGATGCTGGTTGGGAAGAAGACAACGAAAGCGGTTCCAAGGGGAAGCAGCCCAGTACTCTCGACGATGAAGAAGACGTGAGTGCCTGGGGGCTGGATGATGATACTGAGGAACATGACCCCAAAACGAAACATGACACGGCCACGGCATCTGCGGACAATGACGATGATGCTGGAGATGCCTGGGGCTGGGGTGATGAGGATGAAGAACAGAACGCCGAGATCTCAGAGCCGAAGACACCAGTTGTGCCTGCAATTGTCAATGGCAAGGGTGGGGCAAGCCATTCTACTCCCAGAGAGGTTACTTTGAGGGAGAAGTACACCATAACGGACATCCCCAACTCAATTCTGGGAATCGTCAAGCAACAAATTGTGGACTCCAATACCATATCCCAGCCTGCGTAAGTCTTTCATGGCCAGAGCCTTATAGCGATGCTAATACGTTACAGACATGCCCATTCACGCGTGGTTTCCTCCGGAACAGGACTTCTCGCACTCCCAACTCTGATACTGGCCATGTTCAAAGCCACGGCCTCCACTTTCTACGGTCTCAAATTGAGTGCAGGGCAGATGTATTTATATAACGACAGCTTGTATCTCGCTGGTCAAGTCCGTGATCTGGCAGAGGAGTACCAAATCACTAGGCTTCATGCAGATATTGAAGCTCTCGAAAAATATGGAAAACTGGCTTACAGCAAAGAAATGCAGACCCAGCGCACAATTGTCACAGATCTTCTAGACGGTGCACAGGGCTTCAGCCAATGCTCGGAGCAACCGTTTCTGGGCGAATGCGAGAATGCAGTCAGCGCCACCGTGGACAGAATTCGCGACGTGTTTAAGGAATGGCAGCCTATCCTGTCGCAGTCTGCACTTCTTCAATCGATCGGCTCATTGGTTTCAACTGTCATAAGCAAGATAATAATTGAGATCGAGGATTTAGGTGACATTTCGGAACCTCAGTCACAGCGGCTTGTGTCATTTTGCAACCAAGTGACTGGGTTGGAAGATCTATTCATCCCGGAGGGCCCAGATAGCACCGATCGTTCGCCTATGACGGCCGTTTATGTACAGAATTGGTTGAAGTTCCAGTATCTTATCAATATTCTGGAAAGCTCGCTGGCTGACATCAAGTTCCTTTGGCTCGAAGGCGAATTGGGTCTAGAGTTCTCCCCAGACGAGGTCGTGGATCTGATTGAAGCTCTTTTTGCTGAATCCGACTACAGGCGAAAGGCGATCGCGGACATCAGAAGGGCGTCACGAGGGCAATAGTCATTACTTATTGATGTATATAAACTTTGGAATCTGAATTATTGTTGTATTGATCGCATAATTTATGCTCTTCTACTTATCACGTACGTAATGTTGCCGCGGGGAATCTCCGCGCTTTGCACATGTGGCCGCATCGGTCGCCGTATTTTTTTCCTTCACTCGGTGGAGTTTTCTCAACTGCGCTTTGAAGTGCTTTTGATCGCGCCTTTCATATCACCCATATTTTCTTTCACTGCCATTATGAACGGCGTTCAGGATTCAACCTCTGCTGCGGCCTCGTCCCAGTCTGCGCAGAGGCAGGTGCGCGTGCAGCTCGTTAGCAAGCAAGAAGACATTGCGCTGCCTGAGAGCACCGGCCCCATTCTGGTTCCCACAGGTACGAATGCATTTTGGCAACTTACTGCTAGTCTGCTTTGTATACACTTGTGTGCTCACTGATTTTTGTAATATTCTGTAGGATTGCGGAGATATGCACTTTCTACCCTGGTGAATAATCTCTTGGGAAACGACAAGCCGGTGCCATTTGAGTTTTTGATTAATGGCGCATTCCTTCGGACTTCGATCGATGAATACTTGACGGCCAATGGCATATCTGCGGAAACCACTCTGGAAATTGAGTACATAAGAGCGTTGATTCCCCCGCTCCATATTGCCTCCTTCGAGCATGATGACTGGGTTGGCTCTGTGGATGTCCTCTCTGCGACCTCGCTTGCTACCTCTTGGGCTTCTGCGGTCGTCTCTCCAGGCCAGGAGAGAATCCTATCGGGAAGCTATGACGGATTGCTTCGTGTGTGGAATATGTCCTCCCAGATCGTCGCAACCTCACCGTCCCCGGCTGATGGAGGGCACGGTGCGTCCATCAAAGCCGCTAAGTTCATCTCGCCGAATTCGATTGTGTCGGCTGGCCTTGATCGCACCGTTCGACTCTGGAAGTACAATGAAAGCGATGATGGATTCTCAGGAAAGATCACTCCGCAGATTGAGCTCTACGGACACAAATCTGGTATCAACTCGTTGGCTGTGCATGCCCCCTCGAACCGTATTCTCTCCGCCTCGTCAGACCACAGCATTGGCTTCTGGTCGACAAAGAAGTCAGATGCCCCAGCTGCCCCCGAGAACCTAGTTCCATCTGCTGCGTCACGGAGCTCCAAGCGCAGAAAGGTGAGCTCGTCCGTCAGCATCCCGCAGCGTGGCCCGCTTGCGCTGTTGTCTTCCCACACTGCGCCAGTGTCAGCTGCCATTTTTGACACAAACGACTCGACTGTCGGTTATTCTACTTCGTGGGATCACTCTCTGCGTACATGGGATCTGGTCACGGCCGCTTTAGTAGACACCAGATCGACATCCCATTCGTTGCTATCTCTCGAGCATCTCCCCGAGCACCACCTTCTTGCGACAGGAACTTCCGCTCGCCACATCACTCTCATCGATCCTCGTACATCAGCGACAACCATCTCCGCCATGACCCTCAGAGGTCACACCAATGCCGTGGTTTCGCTGTCCCGCGATCCCCACAGCAGCTACGGTCTCATCAGTGGTAGTCACGACGGTACATGTCGAATCTGGGATATCCGTGCTACGAAGACGGACAATGACGGTGTTGTTGGTGAGAGCGTGTATTCGATTACTCGGAGAAGCTTGGAAGAGCAAGGTAAAGCGGATGCTAAGCGAGTAGGTGGAGAGGGAGTCAAGGTCTTCAGTGTGTGCTGGGACCGCTCGGTTGGCATTGTCAGCGCCGGTGAGGATAAGAGGATTCAGATCAACCGGGGTGAAGGCGTCTTGTCTTCCGCATAAGAGGAGTTGCACACATGGTTCTGGCGTTATAACTATAGGATGAAAAGTTTGGTTCTGAGTATTTGTATTAAAACAAGCCACTGTACGAGCTGATGTTTCCACTTGCAATATATCCTATAATTGCTTTAGAGAGAGGCAACATTGAATCACTACTATGATTTCCTTGATTTCAATATTTCATTGTCTACATAAAATACATCCCCAGGATGGAGAAGGTCAAGCCAGAACACTAATTTACAAAAGCGAATTTATAACGCCATTCCATGCCCCAATTGAAACGAAGCCGCAGGACCACTGGGGTCAATAATAGAATCAATCATGTTAACCTCACAGTCTTCTCTCCATACGGTTGAGCTTGACAGCAGTTTTGATCTGGTGATTACGTTAGTATAAATCTTCTTTTGTGCAATACCCCACGACCACGTCCACCAGCGAAGTGCTTCAACATTCCCTAGTATCATATTGGGGGAAACTGGATATAGGAATAAACCTACCTGGCTCCTCGTCCGCTGTCCCCGAACGGGCAAGCCGAGCGCATGACGCCGACCACGGTAGGTTCCTGTCTCCTTCAAACGCTTGATGTTATCGAGGTACTGTCTGCGGAGATCGTTCTCAATCTTCATGTCGGACAAGGCGGCCGTGATGTCGAGGACCTGCTTGTTCGCCAAGTCGCCAACCTTGCATGTTGGGTGGATATGGAAGCGGGCAAGGAGACGGGTCGAGGTCAAGTTACCGATGCCGAAGAAGGACTCGAGCGATTTCTGATTTCAGTCAGACCAGGCGTTGAAGGTAAAATGGAAGTTCGGAGTTGCTTGCCTTGACGAGGTTTCGCTCGGGGAAGTTCACGCCCAAAATGAAAACCTGATTGCTTGTTAGCCGCCCATTGAGGGTATTCTCAGATCGAAATAACATTAACACATACCATCTTTACGGACTGGCTTGTTCAGCTCTCCAGGAAATGTGATATGGCCTAAACTGCCTATGTGCTGCGCTATTCTTCTATCATCCGCCGCAGTCTGGCTCAGTTCGGCGCGGAAGAAATTCAACCAGTAACAATGTTTCTCCGAAAGATCTTTGGTAATTTTCAGTTTTGCATACCATAAATACATTATTCCTTCCGCCTTTGCGGTGAGATGAAATGAAAATATCAGTCATAAACTGCAAAGATACGCAAACTCTAATCCTTATCCGGTTATTGTGCTCTTGGCACCTCCGCAGTAATGCAAGCTGGCCTCCATTCGCTGAATGATTGCTCCTTGAATCTCCTGTGCTCTCAAGCAATCGTTTGAATTCTCCTACATTGGAGACATCCTGAGCAATCATGAACTTCAAGAACATTTTTCTATCTTTCTTCTTCGTCCTGGCGGTTGGACTTGCTCTTGTCCACGCCGAAGATGCTCAGCCCCGGGGCCCCAAGATCACCAGTAAGGTGTGTATAGTTATGATTTTCGGCGCTTACAACCAGTGTCGACTTCTTTCCAAATATGACATACTAATTGCATCTACATACAGGTGTTCTTTGATATAGAGCACGGAGACAAGCCTCTGGGCAGAGTCGTGCTTGGCTTGTATGGCAAGACTGTTCCTAAGGTACGTGATCGTCGCCATGCTATTATCTCTCGGAGCTCCTGTACTGATCATATTATTATTGCTTTTCTAGACCGCTGAGAACTTCCGGTATGATTTCAGGACTCGATCTCAGATGAAGCTTCTGCACCCTGCTGACATTGCTCGTTTCCAGCGCTCTCGCTACTGGTGAGAAGGGCTTTGGCTATGAAGGATCTACCTTCCACCGTGTCATTAAGGACTTCATGATCCAGGGTGGTGACTTCACTCGTGGCGATGGTCAGTAATATGAGGATCTTGGTTATATGTGTACAATTTCCCCGCCAAATGCTGACTGTTCATGCGAAAAGGTACCGGTGGAAAGTCGATCTACGGTGAGAAGTTCGCCGACGAAAACTTCAAGCTGAGGCATACGCGCAAGGGGCTCCTGAGCATGGCCAACGCCGGCAAGGACACCAACGGCTCCCAGTTCTTCATCACCACCGTTCCTACACCGTAAGTCTATGCCGATTTCGTCTAGCGATAACAGCCAGCTTATGATTGCGGGACAGTTGGCTTGATGGCCGCCATGTCGTCTTCGGTGAAGTGCTCGAGGGCTACGAGATCGTCGCTCAGATTGAGAACGTGCCCAAGGGCCGTTCTGACAGACCCGTGGAGACTGTCAAGATCGTCAAGAGTGGAGAGTTGGAGTCTGAGGACAAGGCTGGAGAAAAAGGTAGCAGCCACGAGGAGCTGTAGACCTGTTTCCTGAGGTCTCGGCCTGCTTCTCGATAAGACTGTGATGTGCTGATCGCTTGTAAAGAAACGAGCTCCGAAGAAGAGTCACAACCTTCAGCAATTGCTGTTATTCCTTCTCCAACCCCTTTGCCTATGACATCTGATAACGCTCCTTATATTTTCCCGAAATTCGCAGCGCTTGCCATTGTTGTCGGTCTCCTGGTTGTCCTGGTCCGACGCAGCTTCAAGGGAGAACAAGAGAAGGCTGAAAGAAGTATTGTTTGATAGAAATTGTACTCATCCAAATACGTGGAAAAATTTGCTCAGTAGAATCCACCCTCGGCTGCAGCCCGTACGCTACGACTTTCCTTGCAGTGCACGGAGTACATGCCGTTTTCATGTGCCACATGACGAGCCGACGCATAACCCATGCCTTAATTAGCCGTGGCAAGCGCGCCAGGACCAGATGCTGTGAGATCATCTTCCAGTGGCAAGTAATAGAAAGGCTTGGCCTCCAGTTGGGCCAACGATGTACTTTTGTCATAAGCTCCACTGGCAGGCAGCGGCAAGGATGCGCCCACTATCTAGTCCACCTTTGGCACAGTCCAAGTACTCCTGCCACCCCTAACCATCTAGTACTTTGTTAGTCAGTGCTATGATAGGCACCGTCCAGTGGGAAAGTTTTACGGCGATAAGATTTACTCGTTGCCTACCATACTTCACCGACCCCACGCTGACGATTTGAGTGGGAGACCATTCCACCTGCGGAGTAAGGTTATTTCTTCTCAAGAGTAACACTATTCCACCTTAGCAGTCAAAATATTGGAACTTTGTGTTTACTACTGTCTAGCCTGGTTTTGGCATGGCCGTCATAAACTATGGACTTCATAATCAAACTTCAATTCTTAAAATCGTTCAGCTATCCGGGTGTAAGCAAGTAATAGACGTGTAACTTGTTATATGCAGCAGTTGGGCATGGACAGCAAGAACTGCAACGGCAGTATCATCATACGAATGCACAATGATGCTCCAATCACGTCAATTTTAAAGTGAGAGTGTCCACATTTCGGCGATGTAAGCCTAGTATGAGACGATCATACTTGTATGCCGTGGTCAAAAGTAAAGGAATAAAATTCCACACACGTTGCTCTGTCAGAGTTTTGATTACCGGGGGGTCAGTCAATATGCCAAGGCGCAGAAGCTGATCAGGTTCCATAATACAGTGGCTGCGTTGACACTGTAAAAATTGAAGATGACGGAGGCGAAGTATACATAGTAGCCATGGCCACCAGGCTGCCAAGTAAGGATGCGCTTGGCTTGAGAATGCACTTTACACGTGACCGTGACAGTATCTACGGGGGGAGGCGAGCCTGAGGCAAAAAACAGAGTTTTTTGGACCTCGTCAGATTGACTCAAACCGGATCAACTGGTGAACAGGTCGCTGCTACTAGTACCCTAGATAGTATAGAATGTGGGATTTCGGCCAACAACCCTAGAATCTTGCAACTGGTCAAATTTCCAAAAAATGGATTGTGGTCCGTAGTCGAAATGGACAGCGATTCAATGCGGGAAATCCCTATATCAGAGTTTTAACCCCATTTGTTTCCCATGAATTTTTTTTTTGAACTGGTTGACCTCGTAGTAGTTTGACAAGCAGAGAGACAGCAGGAGAACACAGTACTAGGAGTAGCACTCCCAGCAAGTGACGGAGGTACAACAGAGCCAAAATAGACAGGGCCCAGCCCATCATCATCTGGCAACACAGCCAGAACCACGCCGCCACTCTGTTTCGTTTAGCCTTTTTAGAATTTTCTTTGGATTTTTCCCATTCCCCCTTCCTGTTTGGTGCAATGGCCGTTTGGCCTGCGCTGGCTGGCTTGCCCTCCTGCTGCTGCTTCCCTTCGCTTCTTTTTTACACGCTGAACCTTTTTTTCTCACCCGGACCGTCCCCAATAATCCCATCGCCGGCTGCCAATAAGCAAGCAAAACCTTCCCAGTGCGCAGGCCTGCCAACCACTGCCAGTGCATTATTCCCTTAGTTTCGTAGTCATCGTCTTTGCCTCTCCTCCCCGTTCTCCGTCCCACAAACCTTCTTCCTCTTCCCTACTTCTTTTCTTCCATCCCCTCTAAACCTCCCCTCCTAATCCAGTCTGGTTTCAATTTTTTTTTTCTCCAATATCTCCACATCATATCCTATTCTCTTCCCCTTCCCCCCTTTTTTTCTTCTCTTTTTCTACACCGTAATAGAGGATTAGATCTGGGAGATCGTCTTGTTCTTCGTTTAGTATTTCTCCCCAAGGTCTTTCTTTACCCTGTTCCTCTTTCTCGCACTGTGTTACTCTTATTGATCCCCTGTGTATTGCCACTCGATAGAGACGCGGGGACTTTTCACTTCACTTCTTCTTGATCTTCTTTCCTTTTGTCCTGTACAGAAGAAAAGAAATTTCCAGTGTTCGCCCGCAAGGACAACATCCGCTGAAAAAACGCTTTGTTCAAATACCACCATAGTACGTTTTTTCTTGTGCCGGCTTCTGCAACGACATCCCAACGCGTGTTGCTCATCTGTCATCTGTGTCCACAGTCCGAAATACCGCAAATATGGCCGACAGCTTGAAGATGGGAAACCTTTCCCTCAACGAGTCTCAGCACGCTCCTGCCCCTGCCCCCTCCACGGGTCGCGCCGCTTACATCCCTCCCCATCTTCGCGGACGCCAGATGGGTGGAAACATGGACGGTGCTGCCGCCGCTGCCCCTCCCCCCGGTCCCGCCGCTGGCCCTGGCAACTCCTGGGGTGGTCCTAGGTATGTGATATTCAATTACCGCGTGTCCCATTTCACGTTGTGTGTAGTGACTAACTGGCATGATTCTGCAGAGGCGGCCCTCGTGGTGGCCAGTGGGCCAACGCCAACGCTCCTGATTTCAGCCCTCGCGGTCCCAATGGTAACACTAGCTGGAGCCCTCACGAAGCTCGCCGGCCCTTTAATCCAAATGCTTACGGACACCCAGGTCACGGAGGTTCTTATGGAAGTGGAGGTGGTTCTGCCCGAGGCTCTGGAGATGGCCAGTGGCGTGACGGCAAGCACATTCCCGGTCCTGCCAATCCCCGTCTCGAACGCGAACTGTTCGGTCTTCCCAACGATCCCACCAAGCAAAACACTGGCATCAACTTTGCCAACTACGACGACATCCCCGTGGAGGCCTCTGGTCACGATGTCCCGGAGCCGGTCAACGCCTTCACCAACCCGCCCCTGGATGACCACCTGATCGAGAACATCAAGCTCGCCCACTACCAGACTCCCACTCCCGTCCAGAAGTATTCCATCCCCATCGTCATGAACGGCCGCGACTTGATGGCCTGCGCCCAGACTGGTTCCGGAAAGACTGGTGGTTTCCTCTTCCCTATTTTGTCTCAGGCTTATCAGAACGGTCCTTCCGCTGCTCCTGCCCAGGCCGGCGGCCAATTTGGCTACGGACGTCAACGCAAGGCGTACCCGACCTCCCTCATTCTCGCCCCCACCCGTGAGCTTGTTTCCCAGATTTTCGATGAGGCCCGCAAGTTCGCCTACCGCTCTTGGGTCCGCCCTTGTGTTGTGTACGGTGGTGCCGATATCGGCTCCCAGCTCCGCCAGATCGAGCGCGGATGTGATCTTCTGGTTGCTACTCCTGGTCGTCTTGTCGATCTTATCGAGCGTGGCCGCATCTCTCTGGTCAACATCAAGTACCTGATTCTCGATGAGGCCGATCGTATGTTGGACATGGGTTTCGAGCCCCAGATTCGCCGCATTGTGGAAGGCGAGGATATGCCCCACGTGAACGACCGCCAGACGCTGATGTTTTCGGCCACCTTCCCCCGTGACATCCAGATGCTGGCTCGCGACTTCTTGAAGGACTACGTCTTCCTGTCCGTCGGCCGTGTCGGTTCTACCTCTGAGAACATCACCCAGAAGGTTGAATACGTTGAGGACCACGACAAGCGCTCCGTCCTCTTGGATATCCTCCACACGCACGGCACTAGCGGTCTGACCCTCATCTTCGTCGAAACCAAGCGTATGGCCGACTCCCTGTCCGACTTCCTTCTCAACCAGCGTTTCCCCGCCACCGCTATTCACGGTGATCGTACCCAGCGTGAGCGTGAGCGTGCTTTGGAAATGTTCCGCTCTGGCCGTTGCCCTATCCTTGTTGCCACTGCTGTTGCTGCTCGTGGTCTCGATATCCCCAATGTTACCCACGTCATCAACTACGACTTGCCTACCGACATCGATGACTATGTTCACCGTATCGGTCGTACTGGTCGTGCCGGTAACACTGGTATCGCCACTGCTTTCTTCAACCGTGGTAACCGGGGTGTTGTCCGCGACCTGATTGATCTCCTGAAGGAGGCTCATCAGGAGGTCCCCTCCTTCCTCGAGAGCATTGCTCGTGAGGGCAGCGGCTATGGTGGTCGTGGCGGCCGTGGTGGCCGTGGTCGTGGCGCCAACGCTACCCGTGACATGCGTCGCATGGGCGGTGGTATGGGCGGTCCTCCCTCCTTTGGTGGCAGCAGCTACGGTGCACCTGGCGGCAGCTATGGTGGCGGCGGCGGCGGCAGCAGCAGCTATGGCGCTCCTCCCTCCTATGGAGGCGGTGGTGGCTATGGCGGCGGCGGCAGCTACGGTGGTGGTTACGGCAACCCGTCCGGCCCTACTGGACCTTCTTCCTGGTGGTAAATCACCCGTTAGGGGAAGTTGTGGTCTCTGACGAGGCCGTCGGGTCTGATTGGCTTCTTTCTCTTCATTTGCCTCTCCTTTGACGGATACGATCAGAACGAATCCTGAGTTCTTCTTCTCTTTCCTCTCATCCCTATCTTTTCTCTCTCAGGGTCGGCTTTGTCATGACTGCCACGACATTATCTTAGATGCGTTCTAAGAATTTGTTTTTTTGCTTTTCTTTTCTTTCTTGTTATTCTCCTATGTGCAGGTGTTTTTTTTTTTTCTGCTGCTGAGCATTTTATCAATGTCGCCTATTTTATCGTTTTGTTTTAGACATGGGTTTCGATGTGGTCCGATCTCCTTATCTCGCTGCTCGTGGTTATACCCGGTTATAATCGAGAGCATTCGGGTCGGCATTGCATGGATATCATAGAATGCGTTGTCTTTCTCCTGCGACCGCTTCATCAGATACCCTTTTTGTTCTCAGGCGGCCATACGGAGATCCGCTTGAACGACGCGTGCCGAGCGGGGGTGCCGGCTTTTCGTGTTCAGAAAAGTGCTTTTATGATTTTTCCCTGCTTGGTGCCAGGCAGCTGCATCGACCGTGTCTCGCGAATAGATTTCTTACAGTTTCGGTTTCTCATGGCGGGGTTTCTCTTATTCCGTTTTCTTTTTCCATCAGTGTTGTTGTTTCGTGCTTTGCTTGAGATTATGCTTTACTACTCCAAGCTGTGTTAAGCATTGGCACCGGAGTTGGAGAGACATCAAGGTCTGTGTGGCTGTGACGTCTTTCGGCGAGCATTGATCTTTTTGCACGACTTCAAGGAATGATGGGTCACAAAAATGGGAATACGGGTGATAGAGATAAGATTCTTCTTTGCATTGTGTATGGCGTTGGCTCGAGCTGCTGTGTCCACAAAATTATTCTCTGCACTGGGGTCCGTGGAGGCTGACATCGAATGGGATCTTCTTTTTCTGGTTCATATCTCGGATCCGTGGAGGATGGGAAGCTGCTTTGCTGGCGCTATTTGTGGGTATCATCATATCTTGTCAGTAGCAGTTTGGGCTCAACGGGAAATGCCGAAGACGGCCTTGCTTACAGAGACCGCGTGTCTCAGAAATAAGGGAGCTAGTTATTCTCTGTTCAAGTAAAAAAAGAAGTCTGAAGCTTGTTTATTATGTGTAACTCATTGTAACTGAAATGATGATGTCCACTTTGTGGTTGCATTAAATCCCTCGGTATCTTAGATCAATTGTACGTAGGAACACATCACTCAGCATGTAAAGGGTTACCTGGCTTCACTGCATGCCAGAATAATTCTCTTCGTATGCTTTCAAACCCATTTTGGAAAGGTGAAAGATATGTCTTGTTCAATGTTTAATAGTGAATGGGGATGGAATGATGGTCGTGGTGAGGCAGTGCTATGTCTTCACTGTAAGCCTATATTGACAGACTCGATGTCAAATGAAGTGAAGCGTTAGAAGCTTTTTAGCATTCTCTTGTCAGAAAGGGAATGCCTGGGTAAAGTAATGAAATCTGACAGACTGCTCATGGGAATGAATAGTCGGGTTCCAAGGGTGGTAACTAGTTAACTAAACTATACATGCTACCTTAGTCACTCCCGCGCACGATCGGAGATCAAGCCAAGGGAGAAAGAAGAAAGTCACGGATCGTCCAGGATCACGTTCCCTGCCCACCTCCCAATTTCTTCCCTCTCTCTCAATCTCCCATCCGCGTCAATCTTCGCCAGCTCTCTCATCTCATCATCCCCATACTTTCTATCATCCGCCGGGCGACCACTCTTCCACTCGTTCATCCATTGCGTCGTCCTTGAGCTAACTATCCCATCAATCGCTGTCCCCCTGCGCGGGTAACCGCTCTCAGGACACGCCGAGAACGGATCCTTACGTCGCAGTCTGGGAGGTTTCATATTACTCCATCTATACGAAGACCATTGTTCCGTGAAAACACGCGACTTCCGAAATGGCTGAGGTTGAGAGCACCGCCGCGGACGAGTCGTTTGCGCAATCCGAGCCGCAAGATGAGCAGCAAACTCACAACATGACCGTTGGTATTAGGCGTCAGGCGAACGGCACTATCGGGTCTGTCTACTCCGGGAACAAGATTCGACATCTCAAGAAGGAAGATGGCATTCCCTTATGGCGCAAGGACATTCAGTATCAGTTCCTCAAGCTCGTCTTTGAAGACCAGACCAAGGTCTTTACTCGATGGCCAGATGGAGAGAAGAACCTGGATTTCGCGGACATCTATATCGATGCTATGGCTAGGAGTAGCAAGACGAGCAAGATCTTGAAAGACAAACTTCAAAACGATAAACAAGCAGCTATCAGCATGGCTATGGTTTGCTTACTGGTGAACTTCGGAAGGATGAATACCACTCTCAACTGTACGTCCTCCTTTCGCTTTTAACTTACAGATATTCTTTTCTGCTACTCTTCATCATTTACTGATAAGGACCAGTCTTCCCTGAGATGCGTGCTCAACTGCGGACCTATCACTCCATTCCTTCGCTACAAGCCCACCAAGACCCGAACGCCTACAAGCAGCTCCAAGACGCTCCTCGTCTCAAATCCATTCTCAAAGGTGCCTCAGAAGACGTCGACCAGCCAAATACTCTAGAAAGAATCAAGCGCCATGCAATTCCTCGCACGAACCCGGTAAACCTCATTTTCGTCCTGGCACAATACGCGCCCAAGGTATCTGAAATGCACTTCTTCCCTCCACGCGACTTCTTCGACCTCGTTATGCGGGGCACATTGAGCAGTAAGAGTCGTGCAAAGGCATTTCTGTGGTTGATGTGGTGGTACCTGGAAAGTGATTTCAGCGCCGAAGCCGCTCGCAACAACCCGTTTGGACCCGGCTTGGACGGTGAAGGAACCGGGGGCTTGCCTATCAAGGTGCCTCAATTTGAAAGCCTTACCGAGGAACAAGCAAATGAGGAGAATGTTGATACACAGTCTGAGATTGAATATGGAGAGGCTAAGCGTCTGGAACGCAAACGTCAGTTTCACAGGCCTTCTTTGAGTTCCATTCGCGCAATAATTGACACCATCCGCAGGTATTTTGGAGGAAGATGAGCCAATCCCTAGAGTGACCAAACGCTCTAAGAAAGGTACAGTCCCCAGATCGACGTATCAGAACCTAATATGACTGACATCTCGTGGTAGGTTTGCCAGACTTCGGCTACGAGGAAGACGGCTCGGGAGATGTTTCGGGTAAGTTTGTCCAACAAAAACCCAAAGCCTCCCAGTTTACTGATGTGATTATTAAGGTCGAGGCGATGGCCGTGGCTCTACTATGTCAACTCCCTTACACCCCTCTTCCAAGCGCTATCCGCAGGATGATGAGGATGATTATCAAACTCCTGGACAGTCTGCCAGGTCTCGGTACAAGAGGCCTAAGCGGGAATCTTCCCTCAACCGTTCTGTTGGTCAGCAGCGTCTCATCTTAAGAACCAAGATGGAAAACACACCTGACGCTGCTTCTCCAGCTCCTCCAGGCTCTGGCCATCCCATTCTGAACCGGTTCGTCGCAGAACCCACCTTACCTCAGCAGTCCTCTTCTCGCCGTCCCCGGCCTCTTACACAGCACCAGCTGGCTGTTGAGCAGAATCGGCGACAGCGAATTGAATATCTTCTAGCCAAGCGGAAGAATGAGGCATATCGTGTCTTGCGTGCGAATCGAGAGAGCGAGCTCCCGCTTGTCCGTCACGGTCGTTTACTATCAACCCTGCCTGATGATTATGATACGGACGATGAGGAGAAGTCATGGGGCAAAGGCGGGCTTATTCCAAAGCCGGATGAAGAGGAAGACTTTGGTGAATGCGCCAGCTACTACTTGTCTGTCATTCGCAAGGCTGCCAGGCGCTTGGACCGATGGGATTATGACGATGCCAACGGCCCGAAGCGTGACCGCAAGAAGGAAAGGGAACAACGTCAGAAAGCAAGAGAAATCAGATTGGCTTTGGAAAACTCCTCAGATCTTGCTGGGCGCGTCCCGTCTTCAGCCCGTAGCAGAGCCCGCGCTGCGCGCAATGCTAAACGCAAGCTTGCTGGCCCAGCGTCTGGTGCCTCAGCTACAGAGGTCAAGGAGCAAGGCGCATCAACATCACGTTCTAAAGCAAACAGGAGCCGTGTTCAACGTGATGCCGGAGATGGTGAAACGACCAACGCCGATGTCACTAAGGATGGTCTCGAAGTGCCATCCCGAGACCAGGAACTCTCCCCGATGCCTGGATCGGCCCAGATGGGCGATGAAGACGGAGACATTGAGGGCGAGGAAGGACTTGACGATATTGACCGTGAGATTCTAGGAGAAGGAAGTGGAGAAGAAGATGTCCGTACGACACGCAAAGCTCGTACATCTCACCCAGCCGAACTTGGCTATGAGGACAGCTTTATCGGCGACGGAGGTGATCCAGACGAGGAGGGTGAGGCGCTCTCATCCGATGAGAACGACGAGGAAGCCGACGACGACGATCTCGATGAGGGAGAAGGAGAAGCCGATGGGGATGATAACTCCTCAACTATGGAAGGCGGAAACGGATATGCTGCTAGTGAGACCTCTTCGGTTGCTGGAGATGCTGCCGAGCCAGCAACTGAAGCTGGCGGCGAGACAGCAGAACGAGAAGATATGAAAGATGAGGTTATGGAAGATAAATAAGCCATATTCCTGTGGGCTACATAGCAATTGCCATGTGGCTTGTTGGTTGGCATTATGGTTTGATTGCTCCTTCAACTTCATTCATCTCTTATGTCTGTCCTTTATATGACTAATTTGCTGTATCTAATTTGGCAACGCGTTTTTGATGTGTCCTTCATCTCTTGTATTCTGTTCCCTCCTTTTTTCCTTTTTTTCTTTTGCACTCATTCAACCCACGGGGATTAAGACTAGCTTGATACAATACAATATGTTACTACTATTAGCTCGAAAACTGCTCGCCTTCGATGGCCTTGGGCTTTCCCATCCATGCTGAATGTCTGTCTCAATCACTTGTTCAATCAGAGGGCTACAATATGCAGAATCATCCTAGCAACCAGCATCACAACGGAAATGCAAGCGCCGCACCTATAAGGAGCCTTTCTGGTAGCTGGAAGCTACTAGCAACACATCCTACGTTCTGAATCGTACGGCTAGTGATTCGGGTCCTAACCTCCGTATCCTAGGCATCTAATGTGTGTGCCTCTGCCTCAGTCGTCGGACCCCCAAAACACGTTCCCTATGGTCCTTTCGAAGTATATATCGGAAGTGGTATGGTATTAAAACGCTCTGTACGTCCGGCTCATTTCGAACAGATCACCTAGGGTGAAGTGGCAGAGCATGATTACTCCTATTATAGCAAGAGACGGGTCTTTTCAGTACCATCATGATTACATTGCAATGAACTGATGGCCACGGTGCTAAGTGCTAAGCTGAATCATGTCTCTAATTTCAGATGGCCTCGTGGGTAATATACAATAGCATGATGACCGCACATTTTTATCCTGACAGTACATCATGGTTAGTATTGGTAAAAAGGGTAGTCAGCAGTGTCACTAACACTGATACTGACATTCACTGTCCGCTGATTGGAATGTGATCTTGCGTCTAGATGTTAGTGGCCAAGCTCAGCCCAGTATGATATCGTGCGGGGTGTACATGTTGAGCTGCATAAATAGCGGGGACGGTCGTATTGGAACAAGTATTGTCCGCACAAAACAGTCCCGTATGGCGTCACTACTATGATAAACATGTACAAGGGAAAATATCATTGGAGATATGATTTCCAACGCAGGCTGGAAGTACGGTGACACACTTGGTGTAATAGTCGGTGCACGAGCTCGAGAAGAAGAGGAAATCGTGACGTGGAAGCTGCTCTTTAGTTGGGTGAGTTGACGTCCCTGAGACAAGGATTAGCAACCATGGCATCTTTGATTTTCTCCGACTCGATCTCCTCCCGAATTTTTCATGTGCTAGAGAAGCAAGGGCGTCGAGGGACTTCCGAACTGTGAGGTTGAGTCAGGGTCAGACAGTAACTATACTGGTATGCTAGGCCACATCTCTAGACCATGCTGGTCAGACACACAATGAGTTAAGCCATGTTTTCAGATAAAAGTGTGCAGTAGACATTTGAGTATGACACTGACTCTTCATGTCATGACGATTTGGTTGGGACTGGACTGTTTTGGCGGGTTCCTTTTGTGGCGGCAGCTGGAGGTGGTGGAGCTAAGACAGTTTTGCATGTGATCGCAGGATGAGCTGCTCATTACGGAGTATGGCTTCCCCCAACATTCCTTCGGCCTCTTTTGCATCCTCACTGCTTCCGATTGTCCAGGCTTTTCTGGCTTTGCAACACTTCGCATTATTAATTATTCGTACTTCCAAGGTCTCACATCATCCATTTCTAGCTTCTCACAAATATTATTCGACAGCAATTGCCATTCATTTTCCCCCGCTGTTCTCAATTCCTTTTCCCCTCAGCGTGCTCTCTGCCGATCCGCCGCAAATCTTGCACCCCCAGTTGCTGCCAGTAGTGCTGCTCCACTAGGCCGCTGGCACGAACAGATCAACAGATCTGCCTCCAGCCTCCCCTTTACTATTATTTGGCTGTCTGTGTGCTTGCAGTTCCGGCACGCTCTGGCCTTTCCCTTCTCCTCTCGTCTCTCCCCCCACCTCGGGCACGCTCCTTTCACGCAGACAGGACAATTGTTCGAAAGGAGTCGACCTGCCGATATTTAACCGCGGGTGGACTGACGGCTGATCTTGCTGGAGCCGGTGGATCACGATATCTGGTTACAGTGTCGACTTGAAGATTTCCCGCGCCTGAGCCAAATAACCACTGCCTCCTTCACGTCTCTCGCTCTGTCTTCTATAGCTTCCCTCTCCCCCTAGCCCCCTGGATATCTGGAATCAACGTCCCGCCTGCCATGTCTGACGAGCCTACGATCCTTCGCCCGCGTCCGCGACGTGTGTTCGATCTCACGCCTGAAGAGCCCTCTACCCCAGTCGAACCCGCCAACCCAGACCTGCTCGTCCCTAAAGATGCCGGCTCTACCAGCGTCAGCCGCAATGCTTCGATCATGAACTTGACCTCGTCGACGCTGTACGGTATTTACTCTCCTACTGCATTCGACAGTTCTCGTGACGACTCGAGTCCCTGGGGCACGGAAGCCCATACGCCTCAATCAGGAAGCCCGAGGATCCAGTCTGAAGCTCCAGCACCAGGCAAACTTCGGCGGACACGATCACGGCTTAGCCACGGCCTGTTTCGAGGCGTCATCCTTCCGCAAGCGCTGAAGAGCGCTTTCCTCTTGGGCTTTGGTGTTGTTTATGGAGTCATTACAATTCACCTGCATGAAAACCATTGGATTACCCCGGTGAAGTTGGAGAATACACATTACTACGGATCATGGCAGTATCTTGCTTTCTGGGGTGTGGCCGGCGCCGTTTTGGGCAATATTCTTCCTTGGTTCGACCAGTTCTCAGATGAAATTATTGGCAGCCCTAAGCAGGCAAAAGGGTCAAGCGACCCCGAGACTGCAGACCGTACTCTCTCATGGGTTTCAGTGGTTCGCAGCGTTGGCGCGTTTGTGGGAATTGCATTTGCCATGGTAAGCAAAATTCTAGCAACCAGCGTTCGTCGGTTCGATACTAATCTGGCTTTGTATCTTACAGCGCCGACTTCCCTGGGAATCTACAACTCAAGCGTCACTTACCCTCGCGCTCGTGAACCCCGTACTCTGGTACCTCATCGACCGCACACGGACCGGCTTCGTCTTATCGACCGTTGTTGGATTGGCCGGCATGGGAATAATATTGGGACTCAAGCCTGACTTAATTCCGTCTGCAGAGACTTCGGCTTTTGCAGCAAGCAAATTCGATGTCACCGGTTGGGGATATGGGCTGGCTGTTGAGATGTCACAGGAAAGCATAGCAGTAAGGACTTGGGTTGCCAGCGTTCTTTTCTGCGCATGTGTATGCTTTGGAAACATTGGCCGGCAGCTTGCCATTGGAGTCCAGCGCGAGTCGCTCAAGTGAAGCGAGGACGGGATCGTACCCTTCTCATCCCATCACTCAATTAACACAGGGCATTTTGTATACCCTAGCACTCCACTTTTTATAATGCAGAAATCCTCCTTCCTTTGGCCTTGTGCAGTTTCTCAGAGACAAGTCTGTTACTAGATAGATGATCCGTTAGGCCAGAAGCCATGGCGACGAGATTATGGAAATGACTACGAACTCCGAATACACGAAGTGACAATAAATATTAGTTAGATACTTAAGCAGAGATTGTAGAATCAATCATTGCAGTCCCTTCCACCGAACCTAAGTTCAAGTCAGACACTGCACCCAAGATCGATACTCTGCCAGAGGCAGTTTCTCTCCATTCTGTATGACGATTTCCGTACTTCATCGGCTATACAGACCCAGTAGGGAAAGATATCCTCGCAGGAACGCTTTTTGAAGAATGTTGATTTTGCGTTGTTCATGTGGAAGAAAAGAAAAAAGAAAATCAAAGCGAAGCGGCCGAGCGAAACTTTTGTAGTGGAATGTTTGTGGCCTGTGCGCGGGTCATGTGACGGCACGTGATTAGTTTTATTCTCGAGATAACAACTGACTAATCATAGCATGCATAAATAGCCGATGATAAAACTAAGCCGAAAAGGGCAAGCACCTGTGGCGTCCCTCCCACGGGTTTGAAGCTAACTACGACAGATGGCGGTTAGTAATCGATAGGATCTTGGTCACCCGCCAGGTCCGAAAGCGGCGAAGGACCCCGCGGCGGGACATCGAGGAGAAATTGAGCGAACTTCAATCGAGACTGCCTTGGATCAGTCGCGAAGGTAAAGTTATATTATCTCTGCCATTGTTCTACCAACGGTCTGGACGGTAATATAACAAATCTGGAGGCCATTATATTCCCTCAATTTCCTCCAATTTTCCAGGTACGTACCCTACGAGGTCATCGCAATGTTCTTGATGTTGCTCTTGCTCTGTGTGCGGAGCTCCCAGTTGATCGTCCCGGAGGGGCTGTGGGGGGCCCTTTTTATTCGACCTGAACAATTTTTCCCTCTTCATCATTCCTGACTCTGTGCTTCTCTGCTCTAGTGACCTCTTCACTGTCAGTATCTCAGGATGTCTCAACAAAAGTCAGGTAGGTCAATTGATATTTCTTGTCCACCGTCTTCCATTTATTTTCTTGATAGGGTACTTTTTGAGACCTGTCAAGTAGTGGACTTGGTCCGATACCTGTCCCCACAATTTGGCATTTCTGTTACTTGCGAGAATTCAGAGTATCTGGGGCTAATTGCATTCTTCATCATCCGTCTATAGCCATCCTTTCCGTCTACGACAAGACTGGACTGCTTGACCTGGCCAAGGGCCTCGTCAAGCACAATGTCCGGTTGCTCGCCTCTGGTGGTACCGCGAGATTGATCCGGGAGGCGGGATTCCCCGTTGAGTGAGTCACCATGTTGTTATGGTCATGACTGGGTCTCTCAAGACCTCAAAACTGATGGTCGATCAGAGATGTCTCCGCCATCACCCATGCCCCGGAGATGCTCGGTGGCCGTGTCAAGACTCTTCACCCCGCTGTCCACGGTGGTATCCTTGCCCGTGATATCGAGTCTGACGAGAAGGATCTGGCCGACCAGAACATTGCCAAGGTGGACTTCGTGGTCTGCAACCTGTACCCCTTCAAGGAGACCGTCAACAAGGTGAACGTTACCATTGAGGAAGCTGTTGAGGAGATCGACATTGGCGGAGTCACCCTCCTCCGTGCTGCTGCCAAGAACCACTCCCGTGTTACCATCCTCTCGGACCCCCAGGACTACCCTGAATTCCTCAAGGAGCTGGAAGCCGGTGAGATCACCGACGCTAGCCGTAAGTCCTACGCTCTTAAGGCCTTTGAGCACACCGCCGACTACGACACTGCTATCTCCGGTTTCTTCCGCAAGCAGTATGCAGGCAACGGCGAGCAGTACATGGCTCTCCGCTACGGCACGAACCCCCACCAGAAGCCGGCTTCTGCCTTCATGGCCCAAGGCAAGCTTCCTTTCAAGGCCCTGAACGGAGCCCCTGGCTACGTGAACCTGCTCGATGCTCTCAACGCTTGGGCTCTCGTTAAGGAACTCAAGCAGGCCCTTGGCCTGCCGGCTGCGGCCAGCTTCAAGCACGTGTCCCCGGCCGGTGCTGCCGTCGGCGTGCCCTTGACCGAGAAGGAGCGTAAGGTCTACATGGTCGATGACATTGCTGGCATCGAGTCTTCCGGTCTGGCTCAAGCCTACGCTCGTGCCCGTGGTGCCGACCGTATGTCCAGCTTCGGTGACATTCTCGCCCTCAGCGACGTTGTTGACGTTCCCACTGCTAAGATCGTCTCCCGCGAGGTCTCCGACGGTGTCATCGCCGCCGGCTACACTCCTGAGGCCCTGCAGATCCTTTCTAAGAAGAAGGGTGGCAAGTACCTTGTCCTTCAGATGGACGAGAACTATGTGCCTGCTGCGGAGGAGACCCGTACTCTGTACGGTGTTCAGCTCACCCAGCACCGCAACGACATTGTGATCACCCCCCAGAAGACCTTCAACACCGTCATCACCCCCAAGGACCTGAAGAGTCTTCCTGAAAGTGCTCTGCGCGACCTTACCGTGGCAACCATCGCCCTCAAGTACACTCAGTCGAACTCTGTGTGCTACGCTCTGAATGGCCAGGTTATCGGCCTTGGTGCTGGTCAGCAGAGCCGTATCCACTGCACCCGTCTGGCTGGTGACAAGGCAGACAACTGGTGGATGCGCTTCCACGACCGTGTGCTCAACATCAAGTGGAAGCAGGGCACCAAGCGCCCCGACAAGAGCAACGCTATCGACCTCCTCTGCTCCGGACAGACCCCTCGCACCGAGGCTGAGAAGGCCGAGTACGAGCGTGTCTTCGAGGAAGTCCCCGCTCCCTTCACCCAGGAAGAGCGCGACGCTTGGCTCCAGAACTTGGGCGAGGTTGCTGTCTCCTCGGATGCTTTCGTAAGTCTGCTTTTCAATACCACGGGTGATGCTTACTGACCTCAATGACACAGTTCCCCTTCATTGACAACGTCTTCCGTGCTGCCCGCTCCGGTGTCAAGTACATCGCCGCCCCCAGCGGTAGCCAGAACGATAGTGCCGTCTTCGAGACTTCGGAGAAGCTTGGCATTGTGTTCGTCGAGCAGGGCACTCGCTTGTTCCACCACTAAGCGATGTATTATCCTGTTTCATGTCTAGGGTTTATGTTAAAGCTAGCTGCATGATAACGCTTGTGTCTTCTTCATGAATTTTTATACCTACGTCTTTTACCAGGGGAGATAAGCCTGTAGTAGCGATATTCCAATCAAAAGTGACTTCAAGTGACTTAACTTGACGGGTGCGGGTCGGAAAGCCTAGACTTCAAGGTGAAACGGAAAGGATGCCGCAAAATATCATAGCGTCTGTATTACTTCGGCTCGCTAGCATTAAGTTTAATCTACAGTTGGTATCGTGGTGTAAAAGTGATCTGAACAGTTTACCCACCGGTTACACCATAAAGGCCGATACATGGTATTACATATTTCCGTTCATGGATATCATGCCTAAAAGGATTCCAGAATGTTTATTAGCCCATCAACTTTGATGTTCTGGAACAGCGGATAACCGATAATAGCAACAATGAAGTGACGCGTCATTGCATATCTAGCTAGGTAGCGAATGCAAATCATGCATACTGCAGGATGGATCGAGCTAAGTATGTAACTCTGATTTCGTGTCTCATATTGAGTCCAAAATGTCATAAACCACTTAGCATAGTAATGGACTCCTTGCCTGCTAGGATGTGCCGATGTAGGTACCCGACTCATTCAGTCCATGTTCAGGGTCGGTCTCCTTGCTTTATCGGGTTTTTACTCACATACTGGGTAGCATGTGGTGGCCGTTGCTAGTTTAGGGTCAATATTAGTGGTGTAGAGTTTATTCTGACTGCTCGCTTCATCGGTTATGATGGACACAGGTTATTGAAAAGTTTTGCGTAATTGGTAGAAGTGAAGTAAATCGAACTGACAGTGTACGACGTTTATATATTTTGATCGAAATGTGGTAGATTGGTGGGCCGTAAGTTCAATTGGCTGAGATAACATTACACCAACAATGAATTGAGAGACTAATACTATAATATACTCTTGATCAAGCTCATACAGTCATCTAGAGAGGATAGAAGTCCTGGCGTATGTCTTAAGCACTCTGTAGAAGCGGTGTCGCTATACTGTCTGACGTCATAGTGTTGATGTCGGAGGATCCGGAGGTTGAGAATACGCGGTACGTACCGCTAACATACCAACAAAGTGATTATGCCAAATGACTCTCAGCCTACATGAATCCGCCTGAAAGATTCCATCCATCAGTTGAATTGATCTTAGTTATATAAGTTTTGCAGGTGATTAGTCATATTATGGCTCTGTAATGTAAGGACATTTATTGATTTTAAATAGGCCCTTTATCCTTTGGGCGAAACATCTGTTTGGAACAGCTACAATTGAAGTCAAACCAGAGCCGAGAGAAGCCTACAGACAAGCGGGGCATGGTCAAGATTGTTCACAAAGAGTTCAATCCCTGGCCCGATGACCTAATCCAGGAATCCCATCACTCTGGACCAAGCTGGAAAGTGATTGAGTAGACAGGCCTATCGATGAAGCCTGTAAAAAGTCAGGAATGGTGAGAGATTGTACGTGCGGGAGAATAGACTTGGCTGTGGCTTTCACTGTCGGGTAACACCGATTTCAATATCTTTGACCAGGTTGATGCCGTGAATGATATGATGAATATTAGTCCAGGAAGTGATTAGTTAGGAAGGACTAACACCAGTAGCGGTTCTCTATACGGAACGCCCCTTGTCTAGAACAGCAGAAAGGTAGAGCCATGTGAAACTGATATCCACCTCATTGTATGTATGCAGCTCGTACCAAATTCAAGCGAGATAGCCTACTGAGTTAATTTTCAGATATCTCAATTCCCAGGGAAAGTAGTGACTACCTCTATAACCTG